CGGAACATACTAGAAGAAAACAGGAGTGTGTTTTACTCCTCACATATCAATGTGTCATCTCACAAAGTGCAGCTGTGAGGTGAACTCAAAGCTGCTCTTTCAACCTGGTAGCAAAACACATTGTTCTATTGTGTCGGTAACGAACCAGAAGTAGTAGTGCGATGTCAGACTCACCCATATTTGCCAAACAAGGTGACAGTGGTTCCCCCAACGGGGACGGCTCTGCCGGGCCCGTAGATGTCCCACACTGTGAGAGCGACCTGGGCACTTTGGGGAAGGTCTGGGTACTTGACCGGCAGCCGCAGCCACTCGTTCCAGCTGCGCAGGACAGCAGGAGAGAGGAAGAAGGAGATAAGGAGATAAGGGTCTGAGGAAGTGATATGCAACTCCAGGAAATTTGCTTGTACTGGAGGGAGTTTTGTATCTTTTCAGCTCTGAAGATGGTCAAATAAATAAACAGGGCACAATAGGGGAGATGGTTTTTGGGGGTAACAATATTCTCATAAGCATTAGAGAGAAGAGAGACGAGAGCAAACACAAAGAAAGAGATTCACTCTCACTTCCAACGTGTGCTGAAGGCTTTGTAGGAGGTGCGAACAGGCAGGGCGAGAGGCTTTCCTTCAGCAAACACCTGACAGGTGACGTAGAGGTCTGAGCAGTTCTCCTGGTAGAGGCCAGAGAACCGCAGCATCGGGTCTTCGAGCAGGGCTTTGTAGCTCTTCTGCTCTCGCTTCCCCTCTAAGCTGCCTCTGGAAGAGCAGAAAACACAGACAGAGTGGGGCGGTCAGGAAGGAGAGAAACAAATATGTTGATACCGATGTTTTCAAGGGTGCTCCAAGTTGTTCCCTCACAAATAAGTCTCAATAATACAACAGGCAACATCAATTTTGCAACACATTTTTTTTTTGTAAAAGGCCAAACTGTTTCAGTACAAAGTCAGACTACATCTACAAACTACTCTTAACACCTCGTTCTGGGATTTGTGATAAATGTGGACATTTACTTAAATGTTTGATTTGATAAACAGTTTGTTATGACATGGTTTAGCTAAATATAGACAGTGTCTTTACACACACACACACACACACACACACACAGCATCCTGTCACAAGTCACACGATAGATTAGTTACACTGCTTGAGCAAAAACCTAAAGATTAACGTCCAGTACAAAACTTACATCTTAAGTTGAACGTTGATGTCCAAGTCACAACTGTAAGCATAGTTGAATTTATCAGTGTCCATCCTCCGACGAGAAAACACTCAATTTTAACCAAAAACCTGACGACTTCAACATGAAATCCCGGACGGTTATAACGAGACTTTGGGAGCAGTTGGGTTTGCGACAAGGCCTCAAAAACACTCCTCCGAAGCCCGTTTAAACTGCTGCTCGCGCGGACAGTTACCTCATCAGTCCGTTCACAAGTCTAAACAGATACCTTTGAGTACCTGTATTCACGGTGATGACATGTTTTTAACGGCTGTCTCACCGGGCATGATTTGGATGTTTTCTTAGGTAGCTACACAACAGAGCATCAGCCAAAAATCTACCGTCAGGCCAAAGTAGTCGAGCCTCGATGGAGTAGGATTGATAAAACCGAGCAGGGGATCGCTGTGTCGTGTGTTGATTAGTCGATCCTGATTGGACCAAGAAGGAAGTAGAAAGGGGGCGTGGTTTATAGCATGCTTATTAAAGGCACAGTGCACCCAAGAGTGTAAAAGTTGATAAAGTATTATTTTGAGAATATAATTGGCGCTCCACACCACGTGATCGTGGTCCTGAGCCACATAAATAAATAAAATAAAAATATAATAAATATTACGCTATATATATTGTTGTTGTTTTTTAATTTTCCCAGTCAATACAGTATGACAATAACATGTAACAGTTTATAAGCAACTTTACTTGATGTATACATGCCTAAATAATTGATTGGAGACTTAAAATCAATTGGTTAAAAGCTACATCTGATCCATTAACCATTAATAATATCACTTTTTTGGTAACTTTTTTTACAAGTATTTTGGTTATAAAATATATTAACATGCAGCTGTATGAATATGTTATGTACATTTAATCATTAAGGATAACAAAGAAAGACATGAATAAATTATGGAGAAGCTATTATGTTTCAACTATAGAATTGTGTTTCTAAAGCCAGTCAATTTGTATTTATACATTATTTTTTTTCATTTTGTTTGCTGTTGCCAGAGCCTTTGCAAATGTTTGCAAAGTTTGGGAGAGTACACACATTTTTGTACATTTTGTACATTTTGCATTTCATTTCAACTGTACTTTTGGTATACTATAGGTCAAAATTGGATGGGATTTATTTGTTTATTAAAAAGCAATTAATAGTGCTACTAATTGCAAATCAGACAGACCTTTGTATGGTATCAGAGATGTACAATACCCTGTTTGCTACTAAAATGAAAGAAAATACTATGCAGATAAATTGAAGCACAACATTTTAGGTAATGTGAGGCTATAAATTAGGCATTCTCTTAAAATGTGCATAGTACTATGTATGTGTATGATTAATCATTTGCTGGAATTGACATATATTCATAGAAATATGTAGACCAATTATATAAAAGAAAAACTGTTTTACACAGGAGTTTACTGGCCTCTTGCAGTGCAGTTTGTCTCTATGGAAGATATTTATCGACTTTGAAGAAGTCCCAACAAACGCAGCCCTTTGACCAAACACGATGACAGCCCCTCGAACTTTCAAACAGAAAGTTCTCCCCAATTAAAACACACTTGTCTCCAATTAAGTGCATATCCGTGAAGGGCAACGGGTGTGTGAGAGGAAAATCCTCATCTTTTGTTTTGATGAGGTCCTCCCATTTCATCAACGCTGACGACAAACGGTTGTCAAATCAGGGTGTGAACTCATCGCCAGGGTGTTGTATGGGACCCACAGGCTCTGAAGAGGTCAGCACCACCCGAGTTGAACTTATGGAAGAACATCTGCCGTTAAAACTGCTTCCATCCTCTGAAACAGCATCTGAATCAAATATATTGAAGGAAGAGGAACTGACCTCTGACATGCTCAAACCAGCTCTGCTTACAGGTGTTAATATTTATATAGTTACCTGTATATTTCTCATTTTAATGACAACAGTACTTGAACTCCAGCAAGTCTTCATATAAACGACATACAGCTTGAGACAGGCAACCGTGAGTCACTGATGAGGGAGGCTTATCAACACTCTCCGACTATTGCGGAGGTACCAGAGAAAAGGCACGTTAAACATCATGTTGTGAGGCCCCGGGGCCTCTTGTGAGACGAGTTTTCCTATGATCTCTCACATCAGACAGCAAACAACTGGGAGAAGATGAGCTAATGTACTGTTGGCCCAGGCAGCTATACTGCGCTGCGTTGTCAGGTCAGATTCAATTTTATATTTTTAAGATAACACAGAAATGGGCACGCCTGCACAACAACGTACTGTAAACTAGATTCCAAAGGATAATGGATTTTTGGGTCTGATGCAGATATTTAAATCAACGATATAAAGGCCAAATAATGTACACAAGGACAAGTATTTAAGTTATGAGAGTAATGACATCCTGTGGTAAAAAAAGGTTGGGACAGAAGTACAAAAGTGTATAAAAGGTCTAAAAAAAATACATTTATTCTATTCACAAGGTCCACTTATTTGGTTTTTCCATTTCTTTCAGCCACATCTCATAACCTTTTGTCAGTGGATGAAGATCATGGGAGACATTGCTGAAAGCTCCAGAAAACCAATGGTGAATTATTGCTTTGACAACATTTTAGTCCACATCTACAAATCAACTTCTGTTGAAACTGTGCATTAAATACTTTTTTCTATATTACTTTAAGCATCGTTTCTCTGCAATATTGTATTTTCATTATTATTTACTATTATACTAAAAATCCAATACCGTCTGATAATATCGATCCTCTGATATGACGGTTGAGCTCAACAGAAGAAGTTGTATATATGATATTAAATCTAATACATAAATACCATTGTAAGTCTTTGTAGGTGTCCATCATTCCTTTGGGGTTGGACGGTTGGACCCGCATGAGGACACAGACTGCAGTTAACGATGTGACATCATACCTCATCATCACACATGAGATAATCCTGCTGAGGTAGACTGAGGGGTCAGAGGTGACAGCGGGCCCCTGCAGCAGAAATGTGTGCAGACTATAGTGTGTATCACGAGATGGGTGAGAAAACCAACAATGTCTCTGAACTCTACTGGAGGGACGAACATCATTTTCCCAAAAGAAGATAAGGTAAGACTTTTAAAGTGGTTTGAGATCTGGGGACTGCTAGTAATTTACATGATGTTCATACTCATCAAACCCTTCAGTGACTCCTTGTGACTTGTAGTGAAGCATCTGCATAAAATATGTTTCTCCACTGAAGTATGTAATGTTTTCTGTTAACTTGAAAGGCAGATCATCAGAAGCTCTTTTAACTGTATTTTGAGTCTAAACATTTGATTTATTAATGTCAGTAGATCAGTATTTAGGCATGTGTTTTACATGTGCATTAGTCACTTCTTATGAGAGGTTGAATGGTGATGAATCATGTTTGATAATTCCATTCCATCCCTCTCTCTCTCCTCTCTCTCTCTCTCTCTCTTGCTCCGACTCTCCTTGGACCTCACCTCTCTCTCTCTCTCTCCCTGCCCTCCATCTCACCCCTCTCCTTCCCGTCCCTCTCTTAGTCACCACATGGATGTGTCATCGTTTCTATCACTTTAGAGGTTCATGCCCGCTGAAGCGCAGCGAGCTGATCTCCGGAGTGCCAAAACCGCGCCAAGATCTTTACCTCCTCCAAGCAAACCACCACCTCCTGATTCCCCAATGGATGGCACCGCCGACACCGTCCTCAGCCAGGCCTGTGGGCCAACATGACGGTGCTGACCACACCTCCACGCCGTGGTCGTAAAGCCCCGGGGTGTATAAATAAGGGAGTAAAGGGAGAAGGGGAGCTAGAATCTGACCAGAGCAGATGAAGATGGAGCTCGCCGGGGTTAACTGGATGCTTGCAGCTGCAGTGTTTCTTCTGTGCACCAGTGGTGGGTCTGCTGCACCCATGTTGTGCCACTTCAACTCCAGAGGTAAGATCCCGTGCTCTAAAATCTTATCTTGACTTAAGGAATGAAATATTTATCTCCATTCTTTGTTAATCAATATTTGACTGCCATGTGTTCCAGAACTGTGTGTGTTCGAGGGGAGGCACTACACGCTGGGTGAAAGCTGGATGGACAACGCTTGTATGCAGTGCACCTGCCTGCACCCCGTCGGCGTCGGTTGCTGCGAGACGTGAGTAAACAAACGACCTGTGTGGTTTTGGTGTCCAGATGCCAACAGTTAGGATAGCTTCAGAGAGACGGAACAAGAGAGTAGAAGTTACTTCATAGTGGTGGATCTAAACTGATGTCTTCATACAGTGGAGTAAGCATTCATCAGTGGCACTATTTTATATACTTGAGAAGTTTAAGGATACATTAAATATCATATTTTATACTCACATTTTTCTAGATATTTTATAAGTGTATAATATATCGTAACTGAAAAACTAGCATATTTCTCTCTGATGTGTAGTAGAGAAGACATATAAAGTAGCATAGAATGGAGGTTATTACGTAAGGTACAAGTACCTCAAAACGCTACTTCAGTACAGTGCTTGAGTGAATGGACTTAGTCACTTTCCACTAATTGCATTAAGGGCTCAAGAACATTTCGGATGCTTTTATTCAGGCCCTTTTCTTAACTATTTTGGAAGATTAACTCTATAACCTGCAACTTCTGTTGATTGTTAGGAACAGTGTTGGGAGTTTACGGTCCATTTTACAGAGAACAAAGTTTAGCGTGCAGGGGAAAGTGTTTTTTTTAAGCCATAAGAGTGCTTGAAAAACTGCACAGAATTCTTCTCCTTTACCTTGATAACTGTCCAGGGTGCATCGGCCGGTGGATTTCCCTGCGTGGTGTGAGATGCGGGTGGAGTCATTGACTTGCAAAGCGTCCCTGGTCCAGACAGCCGACCCCCGCTTGCTCTGCTACCCTGGTGAAGACATCAGGGACCCCGGCCAAGGATCGCTTCAGCTGCAGCAACACCTCTTGGGGTAGAAAACTGCTGAGACCAGCAACTATCTGCTCAATCGATTCGCCTGTGAAACCAATACTCACGATAGTTAAATACCAGTAACCACTTTTATATACATACTGTACTAATATAAAAACTTTAACGGCATCTGTGCTTTTTGGATTGTATGAAGGAAATGTGAGTGAAGTGTGTCTGTGAAAATATATTTAAGTAAAAATCCAGCAGAGAATATTTTAACACTGAGCTGACCAAATGATGCACCTCAGTAATACATCTAAAAATGTTTAGGCATCAGTTTTTTTTAATTAGTTATTAGAGTAGGTTGTTGTCCGATTCTTTAATTAATCCAATAATTACTAATTGTAAATATATTACTTCCTGTTGGATTTGACCTGTTCTCTGCTGTAACCCATTTACGCTCAAAATAAAAATCTTGTTTACAAAGAGAAAGTGTTTTGTGAATTTTGTGAATTAATGATGGACTTCCTCACATGTAATCTATCAAATTTAAATCACACTTTTTATTATTTTTTCTCTTGTGGTATTTACATCTTGATAAAGCTTTTGCTCAAGCTGAGAGAAAAAAAAAAAAAAAACAGTTTACAATAAAACCATTTTGAGTGAGAGACTTTTTTTCCATAAAATGAGAAATAGAGTGAGTAAAGGAATCAAAAGTGAAATAAATACAGAAATATACATCAACCACGGAGATAGTTGCACGTCATAAGGGTCCAAAAAGTTAAGACGCACTGCAAAATGCATATGAAAAAAGGCAAAACATAAGTTGCATAATATACATATGGAATCATCACTGGCACTGCATATACAAGAGAAACAAAAATAATGCTCCTTTGTTACTGAAATGTATACCTCTGTTCTCATCTGCAAAGAAAAAAACTGTCTCTGTCTCTCACACACACACACACACACACACACACACACACACACACACACACACACACACACACACACACACACACACATCCTCAGAAACACAGTAACTCGCGACTATCTCTCGTTCACAACAGTCAAATACTGATGCTGTTGGTCCCTGTAAAGTGGGACATGTAGGACGCCAAGGCCGGGTTGGTGGGCAGGACTTTGATGGGCAGATCCCAGCTGAAGGTGTCTACGTCGACATGCTCCGCCCCTGCCCAAACGGTGACCTCTGATTGGTTCTGCAGAACTGTGGGCGGTTCCATGGGCTCCCGGGCAGTGACGAATTCAAAGTGAAGGCGCCACCTCAGCATCACTGTACAGGCAGAGTTCAAATGTTTGGTGGTTCAGTTGATGTGTGATTTATAAGTGAGGATTCTGAAGTTATCCGAAAGCATTTTTTTCTTGACTTCAAAGCGGATTTTTGGCCATTTATTTACCATGGACATCAGCGATAATGATAACCTCAGAAAGTGTAAGTCACAACAAATCTACAAATATGAATATTATGTTTGTGGTCAAATTGTGGTCAAAAACTCCACATGGTGCTTTTACCTGGGTGGGACAAATCTGTTAAAGTTTTCACTTTATATGTGTAAAATGCTCCACATTTGATGTGTGAATGATTTCTATTAACATTAAGAATATTAAGTATATCTGCCGATGACTGACCGATGTCTGTGCTGAAGCCCGGCGTGACGTTGAGGGGGACAGGGAGAGAGAAATGGCTGGAGGCCGTGTGGAGGCAGGACTCCATGTGTCGGCCGTGTCCAGTCACACTGATGACCTGTCCGGGGCGCCGCTGGTACTGCTGCTGGATCTCCTCCTCGTTCTGAAGGCTCACAGAATACTGGAAGACATATACACAAATATAATTAAAGTCTTAAAAACTAATGCACAAAAACAGAGGGAGCAGAAATGTACAAAAAAAGTAGACCGGCAAACAAACCTGCAGGCAGGGAATGTCTCCCTCTGAGAAGTTGAATGTGCCGATGATGTCCTCCCCGAGTCTGTAAACCATCTTGAAGATGCAGAACTTTGCAACTTTCCCACGAACATTGGTGATATTAAACATCTCTGGACAACACAAAGGAACACACAAGCCATCCAAATAAAAAACAGTGGAAAACATTATTCAGAAAAGAAGATTAAAGTAGAATATCAGTATTATTTAGAGGCCCAGAGACAATAAAATAGCAATAATAACTTAAACAGACAAACATGGATCCTGCTTTGGGTCGAGTTATATAATACAGTGCTTTAAACTATAACAAAGAGCAGCGAGACAGAGCAGTGACTCACGGGGGCAGCGTCTTGAGGTAGTGACCATCAGCATGTCCAATGCTCTCTCCAAAGGCCGAGCATCCCTGCGGCTCGCTTCCTCTTCCTCCAGGAACGGGTTGGAGGGGGAAACCTCCTCGTCCTGGGGGAATGGATGCTCCGGCATGCCTACAGGTTGGACAGGAAAATGTCAAAATGCAACATTTCTCAGCGTGATAGAAGTCAAATGACATCTAAAGAATTTTGGCAACTCCCTTTGTAGGCGAGGCACTAAACTGTTGTTATTTCTACAGACCCAAAGAGTAGAGTAAATAAACTGAGTCCAAAGTGTAAGTGACACACCTCATTAGCGCTGGAATCTTTGCAGCACATAATGCGAGCAACTGAAATTAAAAGTAGTCCAAATGCAGCTCACCTTGCAGAACCAGCACTCTGAAGGGAACCCGGAGTAGTTTGATCGGAGAGTTGACTCTCTGGCAGCCGATGGTCAGTTTGTAGACGTACTTCACCGCCTGACCACGGAAACTAGGAGGACCATCTACGGGTACAATCTCACTGTATGAATCTGTGGGAGAGCGAATACGCAGGTCACACTGAATCACAGAAACAAATATGTTATTTTATAAATGTTGCAAAAAATACTGGATAAGAAACGTTTAACATCTCTATGACGTAAAGTTGTTGTCATTTCGACGAGCAATCTCTGTGGTTTTTCTTTCTTTCTTTTAAAAGTAGACTTATTGTGTCATAGTGTTATGACTTATGTTAATATGTTTGTCACATATGTACACACATACAGGTTTTGCTCTCCCCAGGGTCCAGGTGCAGGTCACAGAATAATATCTTAGGTGGTGTGTCCAGAACACACTGACCTCTCTCTCCTGTTAAAGAAAGCATTTTACACATGAAGCAATAAGGCTATTAAAACAATGCTAATAATATCCAGAGCATTTTAAAATGTTGTTTATCTTAAAACATAACACATACTCCATGTAAATATGCTCCAATGAATGTGTTTATATGTGTGATAGTGATTTTTGATTTCTGCTTATCTCAGATTACTAACCTCTGTTTGGAATGAGCACCGTGTTGCTCTCAGCCTGGACGTCCTGTTTGTTGCCCTGGACCGGCAGAGCCACTCTGTTCTCACTGGCATGAAACTGGCAGTGGATCTGGGCACTGGCCCATGCCAGCATCTCACTGGGACACAGCCAGAAAACACAAGGGTTACACAAGGGGAGTTTACAGAGTGTCCTGCATCACATGGTCCATGTCCACACGGGGTTACAATTTGTGTAAAAATAATGACGTACAGATCCTGAATACTATATTATCTGCCCTTGGGAATTGCCAGTAGTGGGGTACCATCCCTTGTTTGTGCACACAAGGACCTTAGTCTTCCAGCTACATATTTAATATATGATTCTGTCTAGTACTCTTTGCTGATTTGGATGTTGTCTCAGACAGAAATTGGCATCTATAGGTCTTATTTTCAGGTCTGTGATGAATAAAGAGGTGAAGGGAGTTCAGTCCTACCAGCTGGCTGAGGTGGACAGGTGGGACATCGGGTTGGTAAAAGTTATGAGACTCTCCATGAGCTCCCCGGCGAGAAACACGGGGCCCCGGACCATGGAGGCCACCACCTCGATCATCTGTAACCACACACACCGACAACACCAACGTTACGTAACCGACATTAAACATAAAATCACTGTTATGGAAAATAAAATGCATTGGGATCCGAAACACTTTGTTATCCTAGCAAGATGATAGTTAAGTTAGCTGAGTTTTTATACACTTATTACCACAACAAGCAGACTGGAGACAGAAGTTAACTTGTTTGGTGTCGCTTGCTAGCTAATGGCTGCTGTTTCAAGGGGTAATTTCAATGCATACCTTTGAACAGACAGTAGCAGTAGACAGTAGTCTTATCACAGGGTGCACCTAAATTTCCTTCTTGAGTAAAACGATGCACAATTTCACTTTCTTTCCAGAAGAACTAGGCATTGCGTATCTGGTTAGCTAGCGTTCCAGCATAGCTACAGTAAACAAATCAACATCCGGGTGCTTTACGACCAATCACGAACCAAGGAAAAATAAAACTCCTAGATAACAACAAGTATCAGAAAAAACTTAAAATAAATATATTAGTATAGGATCTGTTTAACATCATAGTGGCATCTCAATCGTTAAAAGATGTCTGAAAGAATAAAAAAGGGCAGTGTAGAATCCCAGTAATAGGTTTTGGTCGGCCACTTAGAAGACGTCCCGTGGCAAAGGAGACTAGAGGTGGACTGTTGCTATGATAACTAGTAGGGAGTTGTAAACTCAATATTTACAAATAATCTTTGTTTTTGTGCGCCAATACTGTCGCAATCGACATAAGTTGTTTTATAAGCTTTATATAAACAGCAAGCTTTTTTTAATGTGCCGATGAATGTCAGTTGGAGGCAAGATTAATACGTGGGGGTGAATGTAATCCCCCCCCCCCCTTTATGCCCATAATGGTACAGCCTTAGCAGCGGCTTTTCTGCGTTGGTTGAAAAATCCCTGGGTCAGGTTTGTCAGACATAAATGACTTCCAGGCTGTTCACTGATTTTGACTTCATTAAACTACCAGCAACAATTAGCCATTCTTTGATATTCCGTCTAAGGTAGGCCCAGTAGCTTGGTTGTAGTTTGGATCTGCCAATATTGTAAAAGGAGGCGGGGTATGCGATGGCAACCTGCGCGCTCGTGTTATCTGAGAGTTAACGCTGAGGGCAAAAAACACTCTGTTAACAGTGACAAACGTAAACGATTTCCATCCAGAGCGCCTTGCTAACCGACAACGCAGAGCTCTGGTGTGTAGCAGCAGTGGGATGACGCGCTAACTCCGGTATTTACAAAAAAAGAATCAACTCTTTTTAATGGCTAGTTAGCTAGTGTTGTTAGCCACTGCTACATGGGGTTGTTTTAGCTAACGGTACGTCATTAATGGCAAAGGTGATCTAAACCTACTGTTGCAACCTAGGCTACTTTGACGCGTGCTTGATCTCAACCGTCCTGCAGTTTAAATGTGATCACTCCGTTTTAACCCATTTTGTTTGATCCTCTTTGATCTCATTGTAGGTGTCCCGATACGTCCTGTTGGTCTTAAGCTGTCATCCATCCAGCTGCTGCTGACACATCCAGAATCCATTGCAAAAGGGGAGCAAAGGGGTCTGTAACCTCCTAAAAACAGGAATCCAGAGGGTGTTGTTGATGCAACTTGCTGCATCTGGTCCCCGATGATATAGAGGCTAATTTCTCTTGTGGATAATATCAATGTTATAATGGCACTGGGACCTTCTACACTAAGGAGCAATTATTTTCCTGCAGGTATTCAGAGCTCGTGAACCGAGAACCGGTTTACCGCCACAGGAATGACTCTTTGAAGCCCGGTGATCCAATTATATAATTCACATGGAGCTCTTCAGCATTTCTGCTCCATATTGAATGCACGATAAACTCACTCCTTTGGCAAAAAGCTGGTGCCAACTCCCCGTTTGTAATCCCAAAGTGTTTTTTTGGCCTCCATTCGTACATACTTTAAGCTCCCCATTGGGTATCCTGCTAAAATGAACACAGAGTGGGGTGAGAAATCCTCAGCGGACCTCATGAGTAGCTATGTCTCTAAGGAAGTGGGATGTGGAGTACCCAAGGAGGGTTGGCGGATCTGTCTGGCGCATGAGTTCAAGGAGAAGAGGAAGCCCTTTCAAGCAAAAGACGTCTCACTGTCCAACGTCGTGGAGCACATCGGGCTCGGAATCAGGTGAGACACCCGAACCCTCGTGTACAGCACAAACCACTACACATGCACTACTGTTCACACGCAGTACACTTGAGCACAGTTGAAATACTCTGAGTTGAGACACTGATTAGTTAAATGAGAAGGGAGTATTTATTTATGGCAGTGTAAAAATCAACACGTCTGTAAGTCCATACCCAGTTTTCTATGACGATGAAAGCCACATCCGAGAGATTGTTACCACTATTGACACAAGCTGTTCAGTCGACACACTTATGTCATCGCAACCTGTAGTCTGCACCACGTTAACCCAGGATGTGAGTGTTTCCTCGGTGTAGCACCAGGGGAGGCCGTAGCCTATAGTGTCACGTTTCTCAAACCACGACAGGGAGCAGGTGTGAAGCACAATCCTGCCTCGGAGAAATCGTCCACATTAATTAAGGCAGTTCAGTTCAGCATTCATCCCAGTAACCCAGTATTAAACCAGCTACTTCTTCAGAGCACTACAGTTAAAACTGACTGCCACGGCTTTCTCAAAGTCTTGAGGAACAAGTGAGTTGCTGTGTCTGTGTCTGCTTTTAAAGCTTCCAGAGAGGGTACTGCTTAAATCTCTGCAGCTGAAGTGTCCCCCTCCAGTACCATCTCAGATCACAGTCCTCAACATCTGCCGATCTGATCGCGTTTGTTTTGTTCTGACAACCTGCTGACATCCGAGACTCAAAGTGAGACATCCTGCAGAGGTGGTGGATTGTTGTGCGCTGGCCCATAAACACTTCCTCTCACTTAGTTCAATCCTGAGAGTGTGTGGGAGTGAGTCAGATGTGACCATCATCAGGCGATTTAGACTCGGATGTGTTTACTTGTTGATGACCAAATTTAAGTGTATTTACGTGAATAACTCAAGCCTTTATATACCGTCACCTCTGCTTCTTTTTCACACTGTGACACCTGCGGTGCAATGTTACAACAGAGCTCGTTCATGCTCGATACGACACGTCTTTTTCTTTACAGCTGTGGTGAAACCACATGGAAGCACTTTAAGTTAACATTGAGCCACAATCTTGCTTCACTTCAAATCTGTTGCAATGTTGCTGCAAAACTAAACGCACACTGCTCCCTCAGTTTAGGCCAATGCAAACAAAAACAAAAAACTATTTGTCACCCGAGGTGTGTCTCGGTCAGTTAATCTCTGTGGCGGCATTTGACAATCATTGTACAGATTATGCTGGAGGAGGTTGTTTGGAGAGGGTTAAAACCCTGTTGTACTATTCAACCCAAGTAGAGACACACCTTCAGCTCTTCATCATTGGAGGGAGAGGTTTTGTAATGTAGGATTACTAGAATACAAAAAAAGGTTCAAGGAGCAGAAGTGGTAGAAAAATAGATGTATACTGTCAATTATTTAGGGTTTTTGCACAGTACACTGTACCTAAAAACAAACTGTGGAACAAGATGCCTGCGCACAGGTTAGATTGAGGTTAGCACACTGTACGTGGCCTGTATTCAGAGCCAGATCAGGGCGAGGACTGACCGTCTGCATTCGAGCCGAGCCGCAGAACAACAAGATCCCGACAATAATGCAACCTGCCGCGGCTTCAAATAACTCTCTTTAACTGATCCTATTCATCTCCCGAGTGGAGCGGACCATTGTTGCTTTTCCTCCGACATCATTGTTTGCAATACAGTCCGGCCCTGCATTGTCATTCACAGTAGTTTTGCAGCTGCATAGGATCTTCCCTCAAAACCAGCAGAAAGCCCCTTTGTGGATGACTCGTTATTGATTATTTCGGTGCGCAAACAAGATCGTAATGCTGAGCACAAAGCTACATTACACACAGCAAAAGCCATATTTCTAAAAAAGGGAGCGTTTAGTCTGTCATCTACTCTCAAAATTGATGATTCATGAGACGAGTTGCTTCAGGATCTAAATGGCTTACCGCCTGCTTGGCAGTAAAACCCTGCTATACAGGCAGCAACAGAGAGGTGTTTGTTGAAGCTCGTGCTCTCTGGTTTGCTCCAGTTGAGGGGTCCCTAAACCGGTTAACGTGCGCCCAGATAAACCTGCCTTGGATCACGCATGGATGAGGGCGTAAACATGATCCCTGGTGGTGTTAATACAAGAGATTTGCATTAGAGCAGAAAGTCCACCGGGAGTTCAGAACATAAATGACTCGCGTTAACTGCGATCTTCTGATCCTCGGGCCCCGGGAGCCGTTTGAAACCTTTTGTAACGCAGCCTCATTAATATTTTACACCACAACCACGGTGTGATGGCGAGTGCTGCAACTGGACACACATTCCTGCACACGTGTTACACATACTCACACCGGTAACATGAGTCAGGTAAGAGTAGAGCGGCCACTTTGACTTCATTCCCCTCAGCTTACAAGTGCTTCCTGTATGCAGCTGCACGATTTCCCCTTTTCTCTTCCAGTGCTCAAGGATTAAAAATGCCCTTTAAGCACGCACGGAGAAAAAGCATGTTAACCAACTGCACATGTGCTTGTGTTGGTTAATTATTAACTCATTTGATAAGAGCAAGCCTATTCATAACCCTGTAACACATGACTGTAGTGCTAAGCTGTGTTATAACTGACTGAATATTTGCTGATTTCCTCGCTTGTTTTCAGCCATCTTCATTTACTTTAACCTCTTCCACGTATGATTGTAAGGTGATCTGTGTGCTTGATGGTGTGTGTTCGTCCAGGTATCTAAAATGGTGGTACAAGAAGACCCAGGTGGAGAAGAAAGCTCCATTCATTGATATGTTTCGTGCCCAACCCTTACGTCAAATATACGGTGAGTTCAGGATCTCACAAGGGGCGTAACTTGCATAACGATGCCGATCGACGCATCGATAAATGATCCAATGGATGCAAAGTAAAAACATCAATACATATAAGCACCTTTAAAAACTGTATGGATGGTTTGTGCCTCTAGCATTCGTCTACATCGTCAGTGTTTAAGGTTTGCTCTGATCCTGTAATATTGGATCAAAACTCTATTAAAAGTTGACGCCATACTCTAAATTGCAGGAGCTCCACTTGGTGGCATTGGAGGAGGAACCATCACCAGAGGTTGGAGGGGGGAGTTCTGTAGATGGCAACTTAACCCTGGGATGTACCACTACAAAACTGTCACAGCAAACCAGGTACGCATGATCTCAAATAGACGGAGGCTGTTGTGAAAGCATACATCATAAAAAAAAACAACAGTAAAGGATATTTAGTTACTTTGGTCCTTTTATATCCTGTACAATTGCACGCTAACTGATTTGTATCTCAGCAAACAAACAGAGAAGTACCAGATTATTTACAGTAGTCATGGTGTTGTTTGATTAAAGGGTGTGACTCTTTGTTTCTGGAAAAACCCGCTCTCTTGCTGTTCTTGTCATAACGACTTTAGCGCCTTCCACCTGAACGTATAACCAGCAGCTGGATGCATCAGGTTCAGACATTTCACCCAAAGGGTTGTCAGAGGGCATTCTGGGACATGTAATGTCTAATGTCTTATCTTTTAACTTACGCATTCACATCCTTTTTTTGTTCTTAGTTCACAGTGTGTCTGCGTCGGGGGGGGCAAACAGTCTACCAGCAGGTGTTGTCCGTAGAGCGTCCTCCCACCCTACAAGGCTGGAACTGGGGCTACTGCGGAGAGTATGCCTTCTATCACGCCTTATACCCCCGCGCCTGGACCGTCTACCACCTGCCGGGACAGAACGTCACATTAACCTGCAGACAGATCTCCCCCGTCATCCCGCATGACTACCAGGTAACTCAAACAATCCCAATATAGTTATTCTACCTTTGTCAGACCTGTGCATTTGATTTGAGAATCCATGTTTATCTACTTTTCCTCAGGACTCTAGTCTCCCAGTGGCAGTATTTGTGTGGGACATAGAGAACAACAATGACTACGCTCTGGATGTCTCCATCATGTTCACGATGGTCAACGGGTCGGGTCACAAGGACGACAAGAGCGGGGGACACTGGAATGAACCATTCCACCTGGAGAAGGAGGGGGAGGCGGTGTCGGGGGTCTTGCTCCATCACTGCCCTACAGTGAACCCTTACACTCTGTGCATCGCAGCCCGAGAACAGGTTTGAGTTACAACTTTTTAGCAGCTTCCGAGGTTTTTGTGTTAGATTGTACTGTAAACAGCTGAGCAAGCAATCCCCAAGGAATAAACAGGATTTGCAACAATAGTCTCCGTTATCTGGAAGTGGATTTATAAGAATCAACTGGTTGTGGAATCTGTGGTGTTAGTGAGCATTAGGTTTTACATTTACCAGGAGTGTTTGTGTGCAACAGCCTGACAGGGAGGTCAGTCACCAGACAGCGTTCAGTCCAAAGGGAACCTGCAGCGGCCTGTGGAGTGACCTCATCACTGACGGACGGCTGGACTCGCCTACAGGTCAGTGCTGAGTTACGTTTAATCCCACTGCTTGTCTTGGCAAGACCCGCCCTGCGTAGCATTCAAGCGCTACGAGTGGCTAAACGTTCATGCTCGTCAAAGTAGTAGTAACCCGCTTTGTTCCAAGTCCTAAGCCCCGACCAGTGGGCTATCCTGACCCCCAACTACTCCACGTCAATGCCAAACATTCACCATTCGTCTCTTCCTCAAACAGCTACGCAGGGCGGGTGTTGAAGAAATGCAGCGGGATCCACAATTATAAGTGTTTAAAAACAGACTGCGGAGGGATGAGACGGTCATGAAGCAGAAACATGAAAAAGTCGAAAGAAGTAGAATGAAAGAAACTGATTCACAGTGAAAAAAAAACACCCACAATAGCAATACATGACTCGAGCATTAAACACTGTGAGCAGATACATTAAACATGCGGGGTAACATTTGGTGCAGCCAAACCAAACTCGACCTCTCAAAACTATAAAGTTTAACTCTTACCGCTGCAGGATCCAGCCCGCCGACGCCGAAGGGAGAGAAGGTGGCAGCAGCGCTGGCTGTGGGCTGCTCAGTGCCGGCTCAGAGCCGTAACAGCCTGGAGTTCTGCCTGTCCTGGGACATGCCCACCATCACCTTCGGCTCTAGGGAGAGGGCACACCTCAGGTACGTCAAACACACAGGAACGTAATCAAGCTACGGGGATCTTTCTCCCTTTTACATTTGGTACTTTTAACTGGAAAAAAAGACCACACTAGTGTTGTCAATGTTGAGCTTAAACGCAGCTTGTGGCTGTCTGTGCTCAACCCTCTTTTTTTAATCCCTGTCACAAATGCATTCTTCACATACTGCAGCACAATTCTTCCATGAATCATTCACAGTGACGAAAGCACACGTCTCCCTAATTGCAAAGAAAAACCCTTCAGTGACAACCAAACATACTTTCAATGTCGTGTCTTGAAGCCTTAAAACTGCCACACCTCTGACCTCACTGTGGAATACTGTGATGTAATGCGAAAGTCAGACGTACTAAGAAACAAAACTTTTGAAATATGAATCAAAACGCAATGTTTTCTGCCGTCGTATTCGTCGATGAACATGAAGTGTCCTTGTGCCGCTAACATCAGCTTGTGTCTTTTCTGTTTCCAGGAGATACACTCGTTACTTTGGGAGCAAAGCGGATGCGTCCCCCTCGCTCAGCCACTACACCCTAACACACTACAGACAGTGGGAGAAGAGCATCGAGGAGTGGCAACGACCCATACTGCAGGACAGGTATGTTGAGTTGTAAAAGCTCTGTAGGTTATGAGAATAGTTTTCCATCAACGAATGCTTTTTCATTTATTCTGTCACCTTGGCTTGTGTTGCAGCTCTCTCCCCTCCTGGTACAAGTCAGCCCTGTTTAACGAGCTGTACTTCGTGGTGGACGGAGGGACGGTGTGGACGGAGCTACCGGAGGACGCCGATGTCAGCAGCGGCGTGCGTAGCGAGGACGGGGGGCTGCCAGCTCAGCCCGCCGTCGTCAAGGAGTTTGGCCGTTTCGCCTACCTAGAAGGTGAACGCCAATGAACCGGGCGTCAGTCTGCAAGGCTAGACGCGGGAGTTTAGAGCTGGAATAATTAGACGATGGAGAGCAAATAGATCTGCAACTATTTTGATAATTCGTTTTTTTGACAGTTTCATGTATTCAAAACTAAAAACCTGTTGCACAAGAAATAAATTACACTAAACTGACACGCTTTCGGCTACAATACTAACATTACACAGCCTTAGAAGTGACAATACTTGTGACCCACATGACTAAGCTATTGTTGTCTCACAGGTCAGGAGTACAGGATGTACAACACGTACGATGTGCACTTCTACGCCTCCTTTGCTCTCATCATGCTGTGGCCCAAACTTGCCTTGAGTGTGCAGTACGATATTGGTGAGTGAAGTGTTTGTTAGTGTTTTATCAATTATCTACTGCATGTCTATTTGATAAAGAGTCATAGGTTTCACAGCAATACTCTCTTCTCAGCTGGCAGTGTGGTTCAGCAGGACCCAACAGAGAGGCTCCATCTGATGAGTGGGCGGTATTCTCCAGTCAAGGCCAAAAATGTGGTGCCTCACGACATCGGAGACCCAGGTAAGAGAAAGAAGATGCTTGATTTACTACATTTTAGGCAGTTCTGTTCTGTGCTGAGACTTTCCTTTAATCGCTTTATTGCCTCTCTCTACAACATGATAGATGATGAGCCATGGCTCAGGGTAAATGCCTACCTCATCCATGACACTGCAGACTGGAAGGACCTGAACCTGAAGTTTGTCCTGCAGGTCTACAGGGACTACCATCTCACCCAGGACAGTCAGTACCTGCAGGACATGTGGCCCGTCTGCCAGGTATACCTGACCGATATAATCTTAGTTGTGCTGCATTTGACAGTTAGATCCCGTCTGTAGTAGTAACACAAAACACGAGTATACTGGATTAAATGTTGCTTGCTCAAGAGTTTTGTTCCACTCGGTCGTCTTTGTTCTGGTTGGTCTGCTAGGCGGTGATGGAGTCAGAGATGAAGTTCGACCTGGATGGAGATGGGCTGATAGAGAACTCTGGATATGCAGACCAGACCTATGATGGTTGGACGGTGACTGGACCAAGGTGAGAAGATGAGAAAAACATGGAAGCCCTGAAGTAACCAGCAGTAGAGAAAAGGTTACAGAAATACGCAGATGAGTGATGATTATTCCTTAATCTCAGTACAGAGGACTCCATCTCTTGGGTTGTCTTTTACCAATCAGCATCATGAAACCTAAGCATGTTTTATTGACATGCTAACGATCTTTGTGTGTGCTAACATTTTTCCTTTGTGTATTAACCTCTGAAGCTTTATGAACTTAAGTTTAGCACCACAGACAAATACTGGTAGGGTCATCCTCTTAAAGACCTAACTGCTACCCAGTCACCATTTGCACACATTCAACACCTAATACCATTACAATATATAATATTAATAATAATGTCGCCCCTCTATTTTGATTGAATTATATCTAATCCTTAAAAAAGGACTTTTAATTAATTGCACCCCTCAAAAGAAAGAAACCACTGTTCGATAATTGCATTTACGACTTCAAGTCTGAATGGGATGGAAGGGGGAAGGGAGCGAGGGAAGGAAATGGAAAAGGGATGAATTGTGGGCAAGAGAATGAAAAATGGAGTTGTGTATCGCTGCAGTGCTTCTCTAAATGTGACCCGAGGGGATCATTCAGAGGCTGTAGCCAAGATGAATGAGTTTGGCTTCGTAAACTGAGAGTTCCTGTTTTATACTTTCAGGCTGCAAGATTGTAGAAACAAGTTCCAAAGCTGGGAAATGAACTAAGGTCATGTGAGGACTAATGTTTAATTAGACTTGTAGATTCAAAGCAACTAGGGATCTTAATATACTGCATTTTCCCCCCACTGAAATATCTCAAGGTTTTTATGAAAATGACTTGATTTAAAGTCTTGTATTTTGTATTTTACAGTGCGTACTGTGGTGGGCTGTGGCTGGCGTCCCTGTGTGTGATGTGTAAAATGGCGAGACTGGTGGACAACAAGGAGACGTACCAACGTTACAGGGACATCTTGGACCGGGGCAGTGTTGCGTTTGACAAACTGCTGTGGAACGGTGAGTTACATGAAATCTCTGAATTAATAGTGAGAGGCATGACAAACTCATTTACTTACTATTACATCCAGTCTGTCACTCATCAGTGATTTAAAACAGTAAAAAAATTTCATTATATGTGGTCATGTTGTCGGTTTAGTTCTAGTGTGAGGGGGATTATATGTTGATTTTTGTAGGAAATTGTTGCATATAATACCTTTTTAAATCCCTGTTATTTCTACAGCTACGTTGCTTGAGTTGTGAACTGCCTTTACTTTCTTTCTATTTTCCTCTCATGTTTAGGAAAGTACTACAACTACGACAGCAGTGGAAGAGACCTTTCTAACAGCGTCATGTCTGACCAGTGTGCTGGCCACTGGTTCCTGAGAGCGTCCGGGCTGGGAGAGGGAGACTACAAGGCAAGTTCAAACACAAGTGGCACCTTTAAACTGTAAGCAAGCTCCAATGAGCAGGGTGAGGGGCAGTGCAGAGCAGGGTGAGGGGCAGTGCAAAGCTAGATGGCTGAGGGTTGAAAATGATAATGCACCTGAGGCAGGAGAAAAGGAGAAGAGACTTATCTCAACTTGCTCGACAAAGAACAGGAAGTCCACAGTCACATCCGAGCAGGTCTCAGACACCCCACCTTCCTCTCCTGTTAAGGTTGAAAAGGGCTATTCTGAGATTTTTTTTTCTCTTACGTCTCGTAGTCTCATTGTCACTCCCTCTCTCCCTCCTTTCAGGCTTTTCCAACAGAAAAAATCCAGAGCGCACTAAAATCTGTCTTTGACTTGAATGTGATGAGCTTCGCCGGAGGCCAGATGGGGGCAGTTAACGGCATGCGTCCTGAAGGAGTGCCTGACCGCTCCAGCGTCCAGTCAGATGAGGTCTGGATCGGAGTCGTGTATGGACTGGCAGCCACTATGATCCATGAGGTAAGCGTGTGTGTCTTTTAATAGCTACTTCATGTTCAAGGGGTAAAACAATATGCAAACACTCACAGTCATTTATCATTCGGAGGCCTGCATACTTTCAAGATTTGTTGCAGTTCTGGGGTTAAAATTCTTGTTGTATTTGTATCTAAAATGTTAACGCTTAGTCCAGTTATGCCTGACGCCTCTTGTCTTTTTTTTCTCAGGGTATGCAGGAGGAGGGTATGCGCACGGCGGAGGGTTGCTACCGGACTGTGTGGGAGAGGCTGGGCATGGCCTTCCAGACTCCTGAAGCCTACTGTGAGAAGAACATCTACCGCTCTCTGGCGTACATGAGGCCTCTGAGCGTCTGGGCCATGCAGCTAGCACTGAACACTTCACAGAAGGATCGGACCACATCGGCTGGAACTGGAGCCGCAGACGGAGAGCAGGGACAGGATCTGAGGGAAAAAGAGAGCTAGTACCTGAGCCATTAAGACTGGTGGGGTTCGAAAAGTGCAGGTTCCTCTGAAAATGACCTGCGAACTCTCCTGCAGCCACCACCCTCATGTACACTCCACCCTGCTGTTTGATTGGTTTTCTTGAATTAAATTCTCTAGTTAGATTTGCTTCAGATGTTTGAGGCTCAAAGTCAGAACTGACAGAACTTCAGTAGCTACTGAACATCATATTGTTTGATGAGTTGAACATTTTCCAACAGACTGCAAAGGGTTTCTGATTTTCTTAAGTTGTGCAGTGTAGGGTGCTAACCAGGCAATGTCAAAATCATAGCCAGTGTGTATTGTTAATTAAAAATTGGCCTTGTGTTTCAGCAACATATTGTCTATTTGTACACATACATGAAAGCACTACATTTCACATGTAATTAATAATTCTATCATACTTGTAACTAGTTAATATGCTTAATATTTGAGGACTGTTTTGTGTTATTAGATCAGCCACATGTAGTCATTGTTGTCTTTTGACAGCCTGTGAGTGAATCAAACCAGATTTGAAAGATATAGACTCTTGAAAGAAAAGTAAATTTGAGGATTTCCACTACTTGCATATGAATGCTCGGTGATGTAATATGCGATGAATAGTGTTGGAAATTAAGTTGTTTTTTTTAATGGCATTTGGTGCCTTGTTGCATGTTGGCCATACCTGCAGTATATCAATGTAGCGGCAACATTTAGTATGTTTTATAAAATCCAATACTCATGACAATCATGCTGAATAAATGACTGAATAAGATACAAAAGCAGGATCACTGTGTTGTTAATTAAATGTATATGGGGAAAAAATGTCAGTAGTTAGGAAATACAAATAATAAGGTGCATGAGGCATAATGCGTTCATCCATGATTGTCACCAGCGCAGAGGCATTGTAAAATGTCCCGAGTCTAGTCTAGATTATATACTTATACTATCCATACATAGATTATTTTTATCTTCCAAGTTGATTGATTTCGTAGAATAAATGTTCTGCTGTCTTGGTGTCCTCAGGGTGTTGTCTGAGTGACTGGTGATGTGACTGGTAGATACCAAACATACTAAATATCATCCTCAAACTTTTTCTTTAATTATTGTTGGGCAGTTTCCAGTTTTTTACACAAAACTTATGAATAAGCCACACTTTTATTTTCCTATCCTTACTTATATAACTAGGGAGGACAAAATATTAGAAACATTACTCAATAAAAAATAATATAATATATAAAAGAAAACAGCACCACAAACTACAGCCTTGAAATGACTACAATTAAATCAACACTCCTCTAAATCAGTTTCAACCAAATCTGAACATTGTAACCATTAGAAAATATATACATAACTATATACATAAATTCCAGTGTCTATGCCTCTGGTAGGGGGTTAAACAAACTTATCTTTTGTTTTTTATGTCCTCCAACCACTGCTCCTTGGGGACACGCTCTACTGAGGGGCAGTATATTGTCCCCTTATACTGACTGTGTCCAGTCGCCGCCGTCCTGAACTGCCCGCATTTCTTGCACGTGTTGTGCAGTACTCTGCGGATCAGCTTTCGGCGGACTGGAACACGAGCAGTAGCAGGAGCAGGAAGGGCAGCGGAGGTTCTGAAACCCAGGGCCTGTGGCACAGCAACGAGGGCAGGCACCTGTAAGGTCACTGGAGCCAGCATCGCCAGCTGAGGTGGAGCAAGGGAGAGTTGCTGCTGCGACACTGGCTGAGGGGCCGAGGGTGGAGCAGGGAGGAGCTGCTGCTGCAACACTGGCTGAGGGGCCGAGGGTGGAGCAGGGAGGAGCTGCCGCTGGGTATGCAGCTTCGCAGCCGTCGGTGCTCCGACTGTGGTGGCCAAGACCTTCCTCTTCACCTGGCCAACGGTACTGCCAGGCAGGTAGTACTGGTCAGTCAGGCCTAGCTGGGGGGATGCAGAAGGGGAGCACACATTAGCAGGGGGTAGAGGGTTCCTTAGGTCCACCAGACACTCTGGCATGCCAGGCATGGATAGAGTTGACAGCTTGGCAGAATCATCCACAGCCTGAACAAAAAAATAGAGATGAGCAACACAATTTGAAGACAGTGAGATGGGACGAAAATAGATACAGTGGTCTTGCACAGGGAGGGTCTTGCTCATTTCACCCGGCATCCAGAATGAAGCTGCAGCTCCAGCAGCAGCTGGCTGAACATCTCCAGACTCATCCTGTTTGTCAGACAACAACAAATAGGAATTAGTTTATTTCATAAATAAAAGGGGTCCTCACTGAGGATGGCAGGGGAGGAGAAGGGTTGGCAGTCTGAGGCAGAATATAACCCACCAAAAACAAGATTTAGTGAACTGAAAGGAGAAACAGAGTTATTTTTATGATGTAACACATACAAAACTTATCCATACAAAACACGAATTACGAAGACAATATTCACCATTGACAAACTCGGAGGGGGAAGCAGGGCAGGCAGCAGGGTAGCAGCAGTTGCACCAGGGGCCAAGTCTGAGGGAAAAGACGGCTAAAACAACAGCAATATGACATGTGATGTATCAGTAAAAGCAAAACAGCAATATAACAATGAGATGTAGATTTTAAATAGATCACCATAATGGTGTGGAATCAACAACTACATGATATGGACCCTCCAAAAAGGTTGGTCTGGAAACAGGCCTGCATGGAACATTTCTAAAAACTGAAATTATATACTGTAAATTGCTATTTAGCCTGGAGTGAGCCGCTCAGTGAATAGTGGGTCATCTGATTGATATTATCTGCACCATATAATTTTTTTTTATCAGGTGACCTGCATACTTATCACCGTAAGCAGTTATAGAATTATTTTTTGCAATACTTTACCTTCTACTAGAGGTCATGCATGAGTGACAAGGTAGTTGCCAAGATCGGAGCTAAACCTGAAAACCAACAAATTGAGAAAGATAAGATCTTGTCCTCGGTATAATTATCTACAATCTTTTAAAAGCTAATGCACCGTAAGCTATTCCAGGAGAACTTTTCAGACAGGAAAATTAACTTTTACAAAATGTAGAGCCCAACCTTCTAGCAATGAATAGCAAATGCAAGTGGGTGTGGCTTACAGTTCGGGCCTAACCAATTTTGTATCAGGCCTGTCTTGGCGCAATTGGTCAGCGCATTCGGCTGTTAACTGAAAGGTTGGTGGTTCAAGCCCACCCAGGGACGCTTTGAGCTTTTAAAGAGAGCAGACTTCACATGGGTGAAAAAGGCAGTTTCCACGTTCAGAGCTAAGCCTCCAAAAACCAACAAATTGAGAAATCTTGTCCTTGGTACGACTATCTACAATCTTTTAAAAGCTAACGCACCTTAAGCTATTCCAGGGGAACTTTTCAAACAGGAAAATGAACTTTTACAAAATGTAGAGCCCAACCTTCTAGTAATGAATAGAAAATGAACAGCAAATGCAAGTGGGTGTGGCTTGCAGTTCGGGCCTAACGAACTTTGTATCAGGCCTGTCTTGGCGCAATTGGTCAGCGCATTCAGCTGTTAACTGAAAGGTTGGTGGTTCAAGCCCACCCAGGAACGTTTTCAGGTTATATAAACAGCAGACTTCACATGGGTGAAAAAGGCAGCTTCCACGATCAGAGCTAAGCATCCAAAAACCAACAAATTGAGAAATCTTGTCCGTGGCACAATCTTCTAAAAGCTAATGCACCGTAAGCTATTCCAGGGGAACTTTTCAAACAGGAAAATGAACTTTTACAAAATGTAGAGCCCAAACTTCTAGCAATGAATAGAAAATGCAAGTGGGTGTGGCTTGCAGTTCGGGCCTAACCAACTTTGTATCAGGCCTGTCTCTGTGG